AAAGTGAGTTGAGCAAGAGGACTGATGGCATTTTGACATAAGTTAACATTTTTGTTGATCAATATGCTATAAAGATTAACAAATTATGTTAAACTCATCAGGAATCGGTTCCACAAAATACTAGGAAGAGGAAGTGTATGAGAAGTGTTAGCATGCTTGGTATCACTCATTAAATATAGTTAAAAGAAATGGAAAAAGTGTGATTTTTCTTGAAGTGTTTTCACCATTAAAAATTTGAAAGTAGATCACCCAATAGTATCAATTGGAATTATCTTCAGTTATCCAACAAAAAATTCCTATTAATTAAACATTTTCGATATTTTAAAATGGATTAAAATGAACTAAAATGAACGAAACCGGTGTACAATATGACAATTGATAATGTTCAGAACGATTGTAAAAAACAGTAAGAAACTAAAAATAAAAAAATGAGAAAAAAAAAAGGTAGAAAACTCTATAATTACTTAGATGTGAAGATATTAAGTTGGGAATTCTTTCTGCGTGGGAGATGATAGGAAGTCATTCTGCGTAAGAGATAATATGGAATACAAAGCAACATTTCAATTTTTTGATTAACATTAAATGTTCAGAAAAAAGAAAGAACTAAATTGCTTATGATTATTGTATATCTGTTTTCTAACACAGATAACTTATATAGAGTGTCTATAAACATTTAGATGAGGAGAATGAGTTAACAGCGTCTCTTATCAACATCACAACAAGTAGCGCTTCAATTTTTTAGTTCATGTCTGTAGGTCATTCGCCCTAAATGTTCAGAAAAAAAAAAAAAAAAACGGTGAAAACAATAAAAACTAAAATGCTTGTAGTTATATGCCTGCTAACACAGATAATTTATGTATGTAGAGTACAAAACTCTACAAATATTTGGATGTTGAGATTAAACAGTATCTTTTATCTTCCGTACGAGAAGATATAGAATATGACCGGACCGGTGTTTTTAATTTTTTGATTGTCACACTTGCCCTAAATATTTTTTTTTCAAAGAAAAAAAAAAAAACGATAAAAACAAAAACTAAAATGACTGCAGTGATAATAATTTTCTAATACCTAAATTATATAGAGTGCAAAACTCTACAAATATTTAGATGTGAAGATTGAGTTAGCTATATCTCTTATCTACAGAAGAGAGAGATATTAGTCTAACCAGAGCCTCAATTTTATGACTGGCATCACGGCTCTCCACTTGCTCCAACAATCTTATAAGGCAATGAAAAATGAAAAAAAAAAGTGAAATAAATTGCTGAAGGTGTCTGTTAATTCCCGAAGACTTATTAGACGGGATATGAGCTTACAATTTCTATAAGAAATTACGAAAAAAAAAGTGAAATAAATTGCTGAAGGTGTCTGTTAATTCCCGAAGACTTATTAGACGGGATATGAGCTTACAATTTCTATAAGAAATTGCGAAAAAAAAAAAGTGCAACATAATTGCAAACTAGTTCATTTAACAAGTTCAACGAAACAAGGAAGTACTTCTTGCTAATTGCCCCTTACAAGTTTGAATACGGATTAATGATGGACGACGTAGTACAGATGTATATATAGATATGTACATTCTACAACTGGATTAAGAATAGTCCTATTGCAGTGGATCATCACTAACTTGAGAAAAGTGTGTAAACTATCGCTGTTGCGACAATGCGACATAGTAATAAGTAGGAAGAACATAAGAAGATTGTGAAGTGGGTGTTTGATTCATCATGCCTGAAGTATTATTACTCCTTGGTAATACCGTTATATTTCTTGTATTATTCATCCCAATATTAAACATGGAATTTTCTCCCATCATCGTTGATGAGAATGGATAATTTTGGAAGTAGAGTTGTGCAGTTGGATCAAAATGAGGTGCATCTTCAGGATGAGGTATTGTTGGTAGTGAATCTTCATGTTCTCGTTCTTGTTCATGTTCGGATATAAAGAACAGTCTAGGATCCTGTGCATTACATTTTGAAACATGAATCATACTAGTTCCAGATGATGTCGCCGTTGAATTGCCATTTGCGTGAGATTGTTGCATAGGATCCAGATCTTTATAGTCCAAAACTTCATGTGCTTTCTGCAAAATATCATTAAAGAATCCTCCTACCACTCTATCAAAGTGTGATTATAGATGAACTTTAAGAGGAAAAAATGATTATTTTATGTCATTCGTAGTACGCATGTTTCGTAAACACGGGCTTCTATATCATATTTATCTTTTAGTCATCAAAACACTGAAAAGGGAATTTTTGACACAGCAAGTAAATTTCATTAACTAACATCAAAATAATCCTGCAAAGCTTTGCTTTGTCGAAGCACTGGATGATTAAGTATGTAATTCATGAAAGTTGTTATTGATAACGTTCTTTTACCCACAACTTGAGCACTTTGATTTCCAAAAATCACTCCTTCTGCAAACTGTGGGAATGAACCATGTAGATGTAACTGAAAAGGAACAAAAAAAGTTTCCGTAAGATTCGTTCAATTACAGAAAGTGGAATGCATATAAAACATATAAATTTCATTCTATAAGTTGCTGAAAGAAGTCTCAAAAATACATGAAGCTAAATAAAGCACATAGTGCACTGAACAGCTAAAATTAGATGCTCGGAAGAATGGAAAATCAAAAGGTGACTTTAAAAGTTACAGTATTTTACAAGAAAAATTAGGAAGTTCATACCCTTCTGTGTAAGTCACCTAACTGTTCCCAAAGACGTTTCACATCTCTAAAGCGTGTCCACATATCGAAGAATCGGATGTCAGCTGCAACGGAATTGCACGGTATCGCCTGAAAAAAAGCTGATAAGCAAACAATTAAGAAGAAATAATTAAAGAGTAATACCAAAAAATAAAAGATAATATAATATAGTGTCCATTACTTCTTTTGGAAGACACTAAAAATCTATGGTTTCAGAAATGTTAAATCGCAGAGGGAGAGAGCAAAAGATAGGCACTGAGACAGTCATTTGTTCACTTAATTCTCTTAATTGATTCCTCTCAATTTTTCTCTCAACAGATTATCTTTAATTTAAAGTATGATTCTTATTCTGGCCCGAAATGCCGATTTTTGTTTCCTTTTTCCGCTAAATATAACCAATCTCATGCCATTTACTAGGATCACCTGTTCGGTTAGTTATATATGTCTCATATCTCATATCCAGTTTATATTGTTGCATTTCGTTTATTTAACGTAGCAGCTATCCTGTTCGAACCATTTCCGGTTAAATAAAATTGCAAAAAAAAAAAAGAAACACTTACACAAAGTGCCATTTCATATTCGGTATGTGAAGTAAAGAAAGTCGAAACGTTCTTTGTATCAACGATATTTAAATGGACATCCCAATCCTTCGGACTTGCATAAAGGATGCGTCCTAGATCACTGTTGCAACAGTTCACATCGCTAAGTAATATTGGCATGATGTCCAACTGTAATCCTCCTAAAAAAAAATTTTTTTTTTTTTTGAAAAAGTACCAATGATTCTATTAAATCCTAAAAAGGACTTCACTGATTAAGAATGATGATTACAGAGATTGCCTAAAGCAACTAATATATTTTACCACCAGCCAATGATATGTGTACTCTACATTATTCCTTATTTATAAAATTATATTTCAACAAGAATACATGATGAAAACACTAAAAAAAATTTGCAAACCCACAGTGAATGTTATCCTCAATGAGTACCAAATTGGATACAGTTGGACTACAATGTAATCTGAAATTAAAGTTAATTCGAGAATGTTATATGCCATGAATTGCAAAGAAATATTTTAAAATAAAAGAAATATTTTAAATTAATCCTTTGTAAGAACTGGAAAAGTTCACCATACAACATCAGAAAACAAGACAACAGTGTACAATTGATGTATATTCATTTTTTTTTTTTTTTCAAATACTGAGAAAAACTATGGAAAAACCACGCCATTATTGTTGGAGCATACAAAGTACAATAAAAGGTAGTTGAAATATAGAAAATTGACAATATATGAAGCGGAAAAAAACGAACACAATATAAAAAGAGGATTACAGAGGAGAATTGTTAAGATTCCAAATGATAAAATTAATTAGTAAATAGCTTAATGACAACATGTAACTGTCGAAAATTTTAGAACAGAAAACCGGGACGAATAAACCTTTCACAGACAAACAATCCTTCACAGCATAATAAACAAAAACCCTTTAAGACTTTCACAGTATAATAAATTTTGAAAAAAAAAATTAATCACACTTGAATAAAACTAGCGGATAAACACAGCAAGAAAAAAAAAAAGACTTCATGGCTATCTAACTGCCAGTAATGAAAATAATGCAAATGGTAATTTAAATTGCCAATAATGAATCACACAAGGTAGAAATGGATGAAATATGCACTTAGTACACAATAAGGACTCACAATGCGAAGAGATTTGACAATATTGATAAAAAAAAAAAAGAAATCTATAATCACAAGAAAATTACACAAAAATATACGAAAAAACATATGAGGAGAAACCGAAGGCGAATGAAAGTACAAGAATTTACAAACAAGCAAAGTGATGCAAATGACAGTCTAACTGCCAGTAATCTGAAAAAGGTGAATGATGTTTTGAAACTCATTGCAAATACTGTCATAATTTATTTGCAATTTACTGTTTGCAGCTCTTGCTGCAAAATAAATATCCTTATTTTTTCATTAATTGCTTCTCCACCAATCATTTCGCCAATTTAATAAGAACATAACTATCTGAAAACTGTTTCATTTCCTTTTTCTTTTTTAATATTTGAAATGCAAACAGTTAATCAGTTTCAGCAATGAGCAGAATTAGATTATGATCTTACAACTATTATGCATCACTTTCTCACAAAGCATCATGCTTGTGTATTAATGCACGACCTTTGTCTTGTTTACTTCGTCACCTGAATCTGTTAGAAAGACATCATCCACCGAAGGGTACTAATTCTAAAACTATAAAATTCTGATGTAATTTCCTAAAAGAAAATTTCACTGATCACTGCTGGTTTATCGATCAATTTCTCCGAAAACAAGGTCCAAAGTACCAATAACCGCTACAACATCCGATAACATTGACAAGTGACATATGTCATCAATTGCAGCAAGATGTGGAAATCTGAAAATGCAAAAAAATATGCTCAATCAAAATTGAAATTTGTTAAACTCTTCAATTAAAAAAAAAAATACCCAGGTGATCGAGCAAAACATCGATAAGGCTTTGATTCACCGTGTGATACCAAATAAACACCAAATTCTCCTTTGGGGGCTTCAACTGGAACATAAGTAGCGCCAGGTGGTACCTGATAACCTTCGGTGTAATATTTGAAATGGTGTATCAGCGATTCCATATTTTGCTAAAATATTATATTTAAACTATATAAAGTGAATTTAATGCATATCATTGTATCATTATAGCTTAAATATTTATCACGATGTAATTAGAACGAACTTTATATATTTCAATCATAGCTAGCATGAATTCAATTTTACCTTCATTTCAGCACGTTTAGGAGGAACCACTTTATGATCGTCAACTTTAATTTCACCAGCAGGCATCTTATTCAAACATTCAAAAATAATTCTCACACTTTCCCGCATTTCTTCCATTCTTATTAAATATCTGCAAAGATAACGATAAAAAATATACTATATAATATGATTAAAATTTCAGATATGTTGGACACATTTACCTATCGTAGCAGTCTCCTTTTACACCAACAGGAACGTCGAAATCCACTTGATCATACGCATCATACGGTTGTGCTTTACGTATATCCCATTTAATACCGGATCCTCGAAGCATAACACCAGAAAAGCCCCAAAGCAAAGCATCCTCAGCTTTAACAAGTCCGATGTCTACAGTTCTTGACTAAATACAACGAAGAAATTACGTCGAATAATCCCAAATCTTTAGCATTTTTAAAGTTCAAATGCTGAAAAGAAAAAAAAAAAAAAATACCATGAAGATGCGATTGCCTGTTAACAGATCTTCCATCATATCCAGTCTCTGTGGAAACCTTAATGCCCAATCGTATACATCATCCATCCAACCAAGTGGTAAATCCCATGCAACACCTCCTGGACGCACATAATTTGAATGCATTCTAGCACCGCACGCCCGCTCACTTTAAATCAAAAAATTATTATAATGTTATAAATAACAACCAAAAATTCGAAACAAATTGCAAAAAATTAGTACCATCCAGCATTACTGAATCATATGCTACTTTTTTGGAATGAGCCAAAGCAATGTTCAGAAAAACAAGTTGTACCTCCTATAAAGCCAGGAATCATACATAATATTCAAAGAAAAATAAACAAGATTAGAATTTAATATAATTCATTTCTTACGTAAATTCAAACATCTTTTCACGTTCTTCAAACATCCAAAATAAAGGAGTCATCGCACCGACATCCAAAGCATGTGTTGTCACACCCATCAGATGATTTTGTATACGAGTAAGCTCATTCATCAGAGCTGCAAATATCTAATTATTAATTATTAACATAATTGTTAGTTTATGTCAGCCTATGTCAAAAATTACCAAATAGTCCGATTAACAGAAAATATCTATGGGTGAGAAATTTTTATTTCCTATACACATACAAATCAAGAATTTCAAACAAACCTAATATCTTGAATTAGCAATATCAAGAAAAAAAATATCTGAGGAATGTGAACAGAATGAGAATGAGCTACATCACAGACTCATTAAATTATAATTAAAAAAGAAAATATTCGAAAGGAAAAAGAGACTTCTGATAAATTTAGCTCTTGGCGGAATATCAATTCCTAATAATTTCTCAACAGCAAGTGCAAATGCTGTTTCGTTACACATCATCGATACGTAATCCATGCGATCGAAATATGGCACGGCTTGGGTATAAGTCTTGTATTCGATTAGTTTCTCTGTACCACGGTGCAAAAGACCAATATGTGGAGTCGCCTTCATTACCATCTAGAAACAAAGATATAATCTGTTAAAATTCACTGACTTTTGAATCCCAGCTTAAAAAAAAAAAATACCCTATATTAAGTAAAACGTGGTTATCTGACAGAATTTATGAGTGTTTAGCACAACAGAAATGTATACAAAATTCAGATCCATATTTAAAGTTAAATAAAATTTATAACGATACTTCATTGTCCAACTCGAGTATGAGACGAAGAACTCCATGTGCCGCTGGATGCTGCGGTCCAAAATTCAATAAGTAATAATGCAATGGCTTTTCATGCATTTCAGTTAAGTCAGACACAACAGGCTGCCAACTTGATTTCTCAAATATTTGATCAATTCCAACATTTTTTTCATACTCTGTTGATTTAGGCATCCATACTCGTCCAACAACACTTGCTTTCTGAAAAATACATGCTACAAATGAAGACTTAAGGTGCTAAAACTTATTCGCAATAAGACACATATAAAAAGTTTATGTTCCGCCAAACAAATATAAATTACATCCAAGAAATATTTTTCTTCTAGTCGAATCAGGAAAAAAATACAGCTTACATATATCTAGTAGCACTCTTTCAAATTTTAATTAAAATAAGATGACCTTGAATTCATGCATAAATTCGGCATCAGGAAACCACAAATTATGCGAACCACGTTTTCCAAATGATAAGGTACTTGGTGCTGATCGAGTTATTTGGGTTAGTAGGAATCTGGCCTGGCCCACTGCACTCATTTTCCAGTTGAGCCCCTGTAATTCACTTATATCATTTGATCAATAATTACACTTACATGATTTGATCAATAATTAAGCTAATCTAACACCTATATAAAATTACGAAAAAAGAAAAGATTAATCAAACTACATATAAATCTTACTTAAGGAATATACTATTATATTTAGTGGACATCCGACTGAATGATAGCCTTCAGTTATTATAAATTGCAACTTCACAAAACAATTATTTAATAACCAAAATTGATGATTGCTATTTAATTTTGATTTTGATATGTTTATTGTAAATTTTCATCATTATGAAATACGTGTATGTATATTCAGGGCGCCATTTCCTACACATTAGAGTCAGATTTTCTTTCCGGATAATTTAAATTAGGTTGAAAATCATCAGCATTTCAGCTAATAAAACAAAATACGCAAGAATCTATAAAGACATCAATATCTTCTGAATATTTCTTTTCTTGTAGTAATAAAGAGACTTAGACTTAGAAAGTCTACACTTAGAAAGTGAAACATTTTTCTACACTTAGAAAGTGAAACATTTTTTGAAGGAAAGAATTCAATACATGTATTCAGTAATCCGTGTAAAACGATGTGATAAAATTTACGTTTTACATGATATACGTGAAAAATTCACGTATAATTGTACTATACAAAAAAAAAAAAAAACATTCATGATATTTTTATCCATTTATCGCATGCTCCATGTATGATGATGTTGTTACAGATAAGACTAAAAAATGTACTTCTTCCCCTCCCGCCCACACCAATGTCACCATTACTTCACCGCCCACTCCATGCGACAACACGGCACCTCCTTGGTCCTCGTAATGTGCATATTATCAAAGTTGGAATAAGCTCTTTCGTTAGTTGTGGGTACAACGTATTTTATTTTCACTTCTGAGATGAGGTAATAAGCTATGGAAAGATGGTTTTAGTTGCGAAGTTATTAGCAAAGTTACATTTTCCTACAAATCTATATTTATTTTCAAGCTTTTTACTTTGTACGTATTACGTACGTAAACGTCTTTCTTTGGTTATGTAATGATAAATATATTCATAAAAGTTACGGTTCTGTTTCAATTTCAGGCTTGAAAGAAAGGTAGCAAGTTGAATTCAGGTATAGAAAAACAAGAAACAAAGTATTCTTACACAGTGATTCTTGAACAAACTCCGCTCGAAGGTTTGTTATTCATTTTGGATTAGTAACTTACGTATTACAAGTAATCGGAATAAAAGTTAGACGTATGTGCATAGAGTGTATCCTTATTGATTTGAAATAGAAATACTAACTTTTAGATCGATTTAAGGACAGAAAAAGGAAGGAAAGGAAAAGGAAAGAAAAGAAAAGGAAAGATGATAGTTTTATTTACTGATTTTACATGATCCAGTATTTAGCATACAGGGACAGTTACTTCTAGTAGTTCCAAAAGCAGAAGACTGAATAGGCTTGACAATTTTAACATTCCTAGTTATCATTAATTTGAGAGATGCAATTAATGTATTGAATCATAGACATAAAGATTGGTCTCGTTTTTAAGATGTGATAGTTAATTGTTTTTTTCTTTTCTAAAAACTTCGTTCCCTTCAGTTCACATCGATTGAAAGCAGCTTCTTTTCTATAATCTTTGTGGTCATGGAAAGGTTAACTCACATGCTCACTAAATTCATTTGTGAACTGCAGATATCTTCAAAGTGAGGACTTCCATAAGATAGCAATCTTAGTGACATCATCGACAATCCCTGCTTATAGACATTCACTCCATTTCCCCCAGTCAGAGATTGCCTTTAACTTTCTAGAAATTATAAAAAAGTAGGATCACTTATAATTATAGTATAGAAGTTCTAGCGTTAATGTCCAAAATAAAGTGTAGATACATTTTTTTTCCTAAAAAATTCTTTCCTAATAGATGTATGACGGTATGAAATGAAAGATGGAAGTAAAAGAATCGTACGGATTCACAGAAAAATGAGGAAGGATGCATCGGTGTGTTGCTGAACGAAGTAAATAACCAAAATGTGCACAAGCCTCGAAGAGGAAGATGATGATGACCCGACTGAGATGATGACCCAACTAAGATAATGATCCAACTAAGATGATGACCCAACTAAAGTAGTTGTAAACATCTTCTGGTGGAAGTACCACATAATATGTGGTACTATCGCAACTGACCTTATACCTTATTCTCTACTCCTTCATATAGTGTTTTTAGCATATAGTGCAACTTCTCTAACAGTTTCACTCTTCCTTTGCACAGTTCTTGTTGACTGTGGTTAATCGATCCAGGTCACAATCAATATATTTGGAGGGTTTCCATGGTGTCACAGCTTCAAATGAGCATTAACCTCAGTTTTTTGCCTTCATCTTTCTTTCTGTTTCTTCTTTTGATTTGTTGACACGTCTTCCATATGAGGGATTTGTTTGATAAAAATACATACTCACACATATACACATATATATTATGTATATATAAGGGAATTTTTTAAAGTGTTAACTTCACTTGTCACTTAAATTTAAATAATGCAAATGATATGCTATCTCCACATTTTATTTGTTATAGATGTTAAGTTTTTTAATCTTGAATGGTTCTTGTTTAGATTAGTCAAAATCGAATAGGCATGAAATAGAACTTATAGCATATCTGGTTGTTCACAGGATACACAGTAAACATTTTAATAAGCTTTTGTAATTTTAAAGCAATTGTGTCATGTTTTATCTAATTTCGAATTTTAAGTATTGAGTAACATAGAATTTTATTGTTCTGAGATATATATGTGTTAAAGACAACGTGAGAAGGATTTTTTTATTAAAGTAAATAATAAGTTGTTAATAAAAATTCTATTAGTAAAATCGGAGCTTCTACATTTTAAAGTCAAATTTATTTCATATTTCAATTCATTGGAATCATCAAGTATAATGTGGCTTGCAAATGATTTCGGTTATTGAGATATCTAGTTTGACTGACAAAAGTTTTTGGACTTCTCACCATCCACCAGTTTTTCAGTGAAAATTTCAATCCCAAGTGCTAAGCATAATTTTCATGTGAAATGGAAACGAGCACTGCTATAGTTCATGGTAAGGATTATGGAATATTAGGGTCTTCTTATTGTAATTTTTTGAGTTCTTTGTAAACAAACTTTAATTCAGCAAGGGAAGATTGCAAAAACTTATGTGAATTACTAATTTTTGTCGCATCGTATTCGCAACTTGGAAATTTTTATCACTCATAATAATTCGTTCTTTTCTAGAGGCATCTTCAGCATTTGATCCAGATCGAGAAATGAAAGATCGTAAATTGGCCCAGATATTCAAAAAATTGCACATGGAACAAGTATGTTGGCTGCCTTTTCATTTCTCTGTTGCACGTTCTAAATCACTTAATTCTCTAATATTAAGTCGTGATGGGAGGTATTCATGCAATACTCTAATATTCTTACACTGTTGTAATTCATGAAATGTAATTCATTTTAAAATGATTGTTTTCACTCTGTCAGCTATATGCTATCTTGTGGAGATAATCAAAGGATTTATTACTTCCTGGTTATAGTATATTAAAAGATGGTTTACTATTTATAAAAATTTGGTAACTTTTACTAGCAGTTAAATAATTTGCATCCGTAGTTTAAACCTGACGAACAATGTACGTATGTGATGCTTATGTCGTATGCATATGAAATGAGAATGTTTGCTTTCTTTTAGGATTTGAACACATTGTTGGATTTTGATGTTCCTCGTCCATCGAAAGTTCCTTTAAATCGTGCAGAGGAATTAAGTAAAGATAAAGCCGAACGTTGTAGACCACGTAAAATACTCGATTACGCAGTACTTGCGAAAGGACAAAGTACTCTTTTTATCATTCAATTATCAGAAACTGTATAGGAATTAGTAAAAAGCAGCTTATTATCTGTTGCTGCACTTTTCTGCCCAGAAAGTTGTGGAATAAAAAACAGATAAACTAGCAAAGCTTACCTTTAGATTAATTAATTTTGATAAATTCGAAAACTGGATGTACAATGTTCATAATAGCTATTCTAATGTGAAATCTTTTTTCTTCAGGTTATCGTAATAATCTTGTGGGTTCTTTTGCAAGCAGCTACTCAGAAACGGGTGGCTCCAATAAAACTGGAGCTGGTAATAAGCGAATACGTTTTCAAAAAGATCGATTTGGCAATAATATTCCACCACTTAATACCAAACGGCGTTCTCGATGTGGCCGACATGCTTCTACTCCTCAAAAAAGTAGCAAATCGCAACGATTTTCATTTCCACCGGCAACAAATGGTGCTAGGAAGAAGGAAACAATGAGATCACGAAGTTTTACTTATGGTATCAAAAAAGGTATCTTGAAAAGGCGCACAAAAGATGTGAGCAATATTAAGCAAGCATTTGTTATTTCGAAAAAACTACTAGATGCGCAAAATCAGCATTTTGATGAATTCATTCTTCCTGAGAAATGGATCAAAGAATCACAGAAAAGAAAGAATGTAAAGAAAATAAAAACAGCAAGAGAAGAGAGCACCAGTAGTGCATCTGTTGAAGATTTGGCAATGGAGCGTCTTGTTAGAGCTTTTAAAACCGCAAAACTTTTATATCCCGAGAAATTTGCTGAGTATTTCCCAGATTTTGTGCATTGTTTCGAATCAGATGACAGTCGAGAAAAGCGAGATATACCAAAGCAAACACACTTTAAAACAATTAAAAGTGAAGAGGATGCTATGACATTCGACAAAAATATTGCGTCAGATTCTGGTGATGATATGCCAAAACGAATTCGTAAAGTGCCAAAAATTTTACGAGAGTACTCAACAGGTGCTGAAAGGAAGAAGTTGGCTAATTTGAAAGAACAGATTCCTTCGGTGACACAGAAAATTTCACGTATTGGTGGTCCTTTAGCTGGCACATCAGGACTTCGTAAACGTTCTCGAGCACCAGATTCACCATCGAATCAGTCGATGCTTTCTAAATCTCAAGAAAATGGAAAAATTGAAGATGTGAAAGAGACGGATGATTCGGATGAAATGGGTAGTGTTGCAATATCGAAAAGACGTAGATCTTGTAAGAGTGGTTTTCGTCTCAGTGCTTCAATTATGAAAGCTACAAATGCAGCAGCTATTCAGAATAATATTGAAGATAGTGCAACAGAATCTTCATCTGATGAATCAGGCAATATGCGTTCATCAAAGAGACAACGAGCTCAAAGTGGTTTTTACAAGTATGTATTCTCATTTATATTCAACCAAATACTTAAAAATAGAGCAGTCTTTATGAGAGCTAATAATTTGGCCAAATTTTCTTGTGATAGTTTGTTCCATTGGTGTTAGTTTATATATATTTTTTTCGATGAAAGACATTGGTTGTATCTCTCGCGGAAGCTCAAAAATTAAGTTTTTATATATATAATTAAATTATTATATATATATATATGATGTATTTTATACTTCAATGTATCGTTAATCTTTGAGTTTGATTAGATAGGTGAATTTGCCTTTAAATAATTATTTACTTGATCTGGTTTAGATTTTATTCTTCAGGACAATGGTGACATTGTACGACAAAAAACGTTCATGAGCGTTTGTTTCACTCTGTGAATTGGCGAGACGAAGAGAAATAGTTGGCCTAAATTGTATGCATAAACTTAAAAACATTCGATGTTGTTTTCTAAGTATTTATTGTTCCTACAGTGATTTTTGGTATTTTAAGTTGTATTCCGAATTTTATTAAGACTCGGAGTTCTAAATCTGATGAGGAACTGCAACATTTAGCATTCAAATAAAATTCAATTTTTTTTTTTTAATGAATTTTCCGAAACTATTTCATTTCCTATTGAGGCGCATTCCTTTCATATCTGACTTACCTTAAGCAGTTCACATAAGAAATCATTTAAACAATACTAACTTAGCCCTACTTCATTGAACATATATCTAAGTTTTCAAGAATCTATTAAACTATGGGAATAGTTTATTGAGTTATTAAAAAAATTTTCTTTAAGAAGGAGTTAAATTACTAGTCTTATTGCTAACCAAGGTATGTTTGGTGTCAACAGTTGATCTCATCAGTATTGTTCTTGTTTGAGAGAAAGGCATACAGTTTCTTTTTTTTTTCTTTTTTCGTTGTTTATGACAATTTATTATAGTGTAATTCGAGAAAGTTTATGTTTCGATTTCTTTTTTTTTATCTCTTGGTATAATATAGACTTTATTTTGCATATTGGCGCCATTGATTTTCTCTGTTATCATTTATTTTCAGGTAGTTATGAGTCATCGAGCTAGAGATTGAACATATGCTTTTTTTTCTTCCCTATCTAACACATTGGATATTAATCTGATATTGTGCAAAAATTATTTAATAAATTTTGTTGAAAAATGTCATTATTGTTATTGAAGTGATATTTTTTTTTCTAAATTCTAAACTGAACTTTTTTTTTTTTTTTTTGAATTTAAAATTTAGATAGTTGCCTGTCTTCTCAACATTTCTCTTTACTTTTGCTGTATTTCATTGAGTTTCATTTTTTTAGTGTATTAAACAAATTATAGCATAGAATATTCTATGTCTTTTCTAGTAGTATTTTTGAAGCAAATTATCTGCTAGAATAAATACCATATAAAAAGCTACAGAATTACTACTGCAACAATATCAGTAATTATAATATAATTAAACCCATAACGGTATAGTAAATTACGAAGATATCATTGAAAAAAAAAAAAATGAATTCTCTGAAAATTTGCAAATTATTTATTGATTTTGATACAAAAAAAGAAAAGAAGAAAAATCGGAAAAATATTTCGCTGTATATCTCCTAAAATTTAAACAAAATACTTTTATTTATTATAAAGTTAACAGAAATTAATACAAACATTTTAAACTTTTGTACGATGTCTTCTAATCCATTGTTGTTGATTTAAATTTAAATTAAAATTACAAGCAGGTAAGAATGCATAGCAGCTAATATCCATCATAGAAACAAGACAAAAATTGGTAGCTCGAGCAAGATAACTATAAAAACCAGTACCACAAATAACATTACATGGTATTTCCATTTCTGTTTCACAAACATTATAAATAGCTTGCTTTGATGCTTCTGCGTCACGTTCCACAATATTCTTTAACAAATTTAATTATTGTTATTATTTCAAATAAAACTAATTAAATTATCATTACAAACATACATATATTATTTTTATCTTATTGATCAATTTTGTAATCCTTAAATGTTTATCATTAATTAATTAATTATAATCTTTAAGTATCTATCATTAATTAGTTAATTATAACCCTTAAATGTTAATCATTAATTAGTAATTATAACCCTTAAATGTTTATTATTAATTAGTTAGATAGTTACAATCTTTGAATATTTGTCATTAATTAATTGATTAGATAATCGTGGATTCTTTTTTGTCACAATATTTTTTTACTTTTTTTACCAAAATATTAATAACAATAATTATGGATAGATATAAATTTATTTATGTTTAAATTATCTAATGATAATAATAATAATTTTTTCTTAAATATTTTAATATTACGTGACAGAATATACATACATATTAATTATAATATATTAATACCTGTAAAATAATTTGTTTTAAACGTGGACTATTGCATCGTTCATCCTCAATAAAACCAAACGGATTTCCATTATCAATTTCACATGGATCATTGATGCAATTAGGCTAAATTAATTCTAAGTTTAATTTGTCATTTTTACATTCTTTTTTTTATCATATAATAAATTTATTCTAAGAAAGATTTTTTCATTTATTTTTTCTTTCTTTTGCAACTTTTTCGATTATAAAATGAAAGAAAAAATATTCATAAAATTTAATATTAGAGCTATTTTTATTGGACGTTTACTTAAGATTTTATATGAAATGTATACATTATCCTGTATATATGAATAAAAATTAAGTATTTGAATTATAAAAGAAAAAAAAAAGACTTTATAAAGTAATACTTACATTTACTTCGGGTATGTATGATGCTGTATCAATGTTATAATCATTGGACATTAATTGAGTTAAGGGTTGTTCAAAGTTTGCTCTTCCTCCGTATCTATCACCAAACTTTTGATCAATTCTGTTATTTTGATATATACGGTTTTCCTGATAGTAATCCGGTTGTTGTGATGGTGGATACACTTGCACCGTATGTACCGATGCTTCTGTACTTTTTGGATTTGGTGGTGGTGGAAGGTGTTCACTTGCTTCAGCTCCATTTGAAAGCATTTGTTGTGCAGAATTCAAACTTCTTGCAAATTGCTGATAGTCATATGAATTTGGTGCAATTCCGGATGATTGCATTTGCCTGAATAAATTGATACAAATCCGTTTGGATGAATTTAGATCAAAATTTATAACAGTTCCTTATTATATCACTATGATAATGAGAGTAGTTGAACTCCTGAAGACAGTTAAAATTTTACTATAATCAGTAATAAGCATGATAATAGCATTAAATTTAGTTGTTGATAAGTTTACTGTTATCAGTGATAAGTGTTACCTAATTTGAGGAGTATATTCAAATGCATTATTGTTGCTTGATTCATTTACCGGTATGAACGGATTACTCATACTGTTTATATTGGTTGCTCCATATTCGTTTGATATTGCATGTCTTCGATTCTAAGAAACACTGATAATGATAAAAAAGTGATAATGATCACAGTGATAATGCTATTATTGTTATCAGTAATAGGGCATAACATAAAACTTTAGTTTATATATACTTTATCATATTACAACTTAAAAAAAAAGAGGTATTGTTACACTTACATATTGTGGCATCACTTTATCATAATCAGTGATAAATGTTTCCCAGTCATTAAGTGTGACATTAATCTAAAAATACAATCTCTGATAATATTCAAAAATATACCAAACTAATATTTTTTAATTATATGATTGTAAATGATTAATTTTTGCTTCTATTTGAATTTTAAATGAATTTCACATATTATTATCACTGAACTGAATTAATTAAGCTATAATTTGTTCAAATAAAATTAGCAATTCAAATTATTGAAATAATTTCGAAATTGTTTTTGTAATGATTATTTATTTAAAGTTCAAATTAATCATACTACTACCAGCAAACAATAATAATAATACAAACTGGATCGATTAAACTTTCTCGATGTTTCTTTCGTTGATCATTTAACAATAAAATTGTCCTATTGTTGTCAACAACAATTTGATTTGCATTTGTAGCGCTATTGTCCTCCTTATGCTTTTGCCTTTGATGATGAAAATTTTGAATGCTTCGAAATGCCTATAATTATACATTTTACATTATATTTATCTAAATATTGTTAGTAATAATTAATAAATGAATTATAATTTACCGCCATTGCGCGATCATTTGCGCCATCATTTAGAGATTATTATAATTAATTTTTAATAATAGATTAATTATGCAAACATTTGATATGCTTAATGAAGCCTAAATCAATTAAATCAATTTTCAGCTCATTGCTTCAAATATCATTGAAAAATTTATTCGAAACTTTTTTTTACCTTAGCTCTTAATATTAACTTAATTCTAATATTAATTTCAAATTTAAGGTATTTTTCTAGGTTAATAAGATTGATTGTATAAACAAATAAGTAATTTGATAAGTTAATTCTAATCATTCTGAAATTCTAATACTTTTCATTATTATAACGATACATTCATACCTTGTAGAGGCGCAATCGTCTTTCGCGTATTTTCTTCCAATTTTCCAAATTTTTTGCATGTTTTTGTGAAATTATTAAATTTGGATTGCTTATTTCAGTTACTATTGAAGCTGTTTGATAATTTGGCTGAATTTGTGGTATCTGATATTGATTATCAGATATCAATCCACTCTGATATTTCTTATCAGCTATTTGTAAATCATCTTGAGATGTGTTATTTAGCCTAAACAATACCATTTTTTGTGAATTTTCACTCGAAAATTTGTTTAATTTTTCCAATAAAGATTGTCTAATAGCAGATTGCATTTTATATTGATCATTAAGTAATACTAACTCTTGTAATTTTGATAATTCTGATAATGGTTCGAGACTTTTAGATAGTGAAAGAATTATTGAAAAAACAATGAGCATTGTTAGCTTAGCCATTATTAATCTGTTAGCCTGAAAGAAAAAAATGAAATTAAAAAAAATGAATGAATGAAAGATAAATAAAGTTCAAAAAAAAAATTTATAGCTAATAAAATTGTTATTTTAGAAATTATCCGGAAAAAATCATAAACCATAAAAAAGACAATAAAGTTAATTGTCTCATAATTATCAGAATTATTACTTAGAAGTTATCTGGTAGAATCCATAAGACTAACATTTATTAAAATGTACAAAAATTTTATCAAACAAATAATATAAGTTAATTTACTAGTAAAGCTTTATTAGATAAATATCACTAAATAAGCATTAGCATTGGTAAACAAAGGTTTATTTAATAAGCTTCATAATAATCTGAGCTAATTACTGTAACTTCAGTATACTTGTATTTACAATTTTATAAGCAAATTCAAAAAAAAGGTAATTAAAAAAAAAAAAAAGTTTAATAAAAAATTAAACTTCATTTCT